CTACAATTAATATATAGACTTGTATGAAAATAAAAAAAATAAATTTTTATTCTTATTTAATGATGACTAGAGGATTATTTTTTAAAAGTACATGCATTTGATATATATATATAATAATAATAATAATAATAATAATAATCAATAATGTTAGCATAAAAAAAAATTGTATTTGAATCATTGGGTGATTCTTTTAAAAAAATAATTATTTTATTTCAAAGCAATTTATTTTATAATGTTAAAAAATATATATTCATAGTAAATAATAGATGTTATGTATGAAAATGTATAGTTAATTTTTGATAAAACTGATAATTTAATATATTTTTATACGTTATGACCATACTTAGTGCACTAGGAAAAACTATTTGAAATAAACTTTTAAAATTTTATAGTAAAATAATTATATATTGATATATATGCCACTATAATTTAAAGTTTCTAAAAATTCATTATATATATATATATATATATATATATATATATTCAAAAAAGAGAAAACAATCATGTTTTAAAATTTTATCAAAAAATCCAAGTATAGAAAAAATAAATATATTTACTAGTAAATAAAATTTTATTAAAAAAATTAACTAGATGATACTTTTATAAGAAATGACAAATTCAAAGAATAAATTTTAAATAATAAGAGTAATATAATCTAAAACATATGTTAATTTTAAAATATAAAAAGATGTTATATATATTTTATCCTCACCATGTCGTGTAAAAAACACAAATAATAACACTCAATGTTTCATATTTTTTAACTAAAAAATATAAATTCAAAAATTAAAGAAAAAAACAAAAACCAAAGGCGAAGGCTTGCAACTCGCATGCTTGGTCCTAGAGGACGAGGCATGCGTAGGCCAAGATACTAGAAAAATGATTGCTTTTAACTTTTAGTAACCTCTCGCAAGTTTTAGCAACTTCAATTTCGCTAGAAAGGTTATCGAAAGTCGAGTTTGATAACTTTTGGCCTCCTAAAACCATATTCAGCTCCGTTTTTTTCCCTAAAATCAGAAAAATTACTTAAACAAACTTGTTTAGAACTTCAAAACTTATTTTAATGCACATGAAAATGCAAATCAAAATAAAAAAAATTAAAGTATTTTTGGACCCCAACCTACTCTTCAAACCATTTCATTGCTTGTGACCATCATAAAAGATTCTACTCTTCGAGACAAACAAATTGGTAGAGAATTCGACGATAAGGTGGCCAAAATGGGCATCATTGTCCCTTTATCTCTCCTTCCTTTTCTCTCTCTCTTTTTGTTTCTCTTTCTTCCAAGCATCCAACGACCACATTGTAACACAAATAAAGTTTAGGATTAAAATAAAAGTTTGTGAAAAAATAAGGGACCAAAATGTAATTTTTTTTCTAAAATGGTGCAAATGCACAATATAAATGAGAGTATATGAATAGTGTAATGTGTGTGAGGGCACACAAAAATATACAGATGAATGAGTGTTTTGCTCTAGTGTTTTAGTTAATAAAGCAAGCCCATAAATAATACTGATATATCCGGTTGACACATGTTATCACACAATCTATGTTGAGTTTTAAGTCAACCTACATAAAGCATTCAAGAACATTGGGATCCACACGACCATTGAATGAGTGTTTTTATTTTAGTGTTTTAATTAATAAATCAAGCTTTATGTAGAAGTTAAAAACTATTGCTAAACAATTGGAATCTGCTACATCACATATAATGCAACAATTTATCAAGTGCTACATCCGACCGACATTGTAATAATGCAACACTTTCTATTTACAACGACGAACATATTCATTTTTGTTGCATCATGTCCTTGAAATGCAGAGATTATTTTACTACTTTAGACAACATTTTTTAGTATCATAAGGTACCAGTTTAAGTCAAAACTTATACAATAGTTCTCCCTATATATGCTACGAGTTGGAGAGTTATTTTATGCAACAATTTTCATCAAATAACTCAATGGTTTATATAATATATTATGCAATAATTTTAAATCGTTTGCAATAGTTTTTTTATTGTATTAGGCAATTGTTAGTTTGTTTTCATGCAACGATATTTTCATATACATAAGCTAACCTTTTCCATATGTAATGCAAAAATTTTATAAAAGAATATCAATGGTTTGTAAAATCTGAATGTGACAGCTTTTTATGGTAAAGCAACGATTTATGAAGTATATAATACAATAGTTTGCAATATTATTGTAATAGTTTTTTTTTTTCCAAAGCAACATATTTGTAACAGATTATTAGCTAATTGCAACGATTATCTTGTTATTTGTAATAATTTTTTTAAAGATAATTCCAAACATTAATCAATTACAAGTCCAGGTAGTTTCTTAACACACTTCTAAATATTAATTAATCTATTATAAGAAAAGTAATAATCCAAATATCTAAAAATAAATTTAAAAATTATATAAAAAAAGACCAACATTTAGAAGAATATTTAAAGTTCCTACTCTAAAAATTCAATAGATTAAAACTGAAAATTGAAAAAGCATAACAAGAGACTAAAGTGTTAATCTTATAGTTGCCCTCCAAATTCCAATAGTTCACAACACTTGGCAACCAACAATTTTAGAGAAAAAGAAGTTATCATTGAAGTATAATAATTAAAATGAGTTAAGACCATCATAACCCCATCAAAAAGCCAAAAAAAAAAAAAAAGACTCTTAAATCAATGAAATAACAAATGCTTTTTTCTTTCAAGCACGCCTAGCCTAAAAATCCTTCATAAAAGCAACTAATTTTTCCATACTACCTAAAGACAACGACTCTTATATGCTAACTCTCATCTCACCATCACATCCATGCTATTAAAGCTGAACCATCTTCTCCTTAAATTTGAATGAAAGAGAAAAATGACAACAAAATCTCTTTAACTAAGCTAAAAAGAAACTAATTTATGGCATTAAAATCCACCAAACACCACAAGAAAACCAAAAATAGCGATGGATATTAGCAATAGATTGAATTCTATCGCTAAATAGTGATGTATTAGCAAATGAATTGCGACTATTATCGAGACACCGGTTTCGGTTATGAAAAACTAATAGACTAGCGACGGATTCTTAACTATAAACTTTTTTCCATCGCCGTTTATGGAAGCAAAATATCCAATGGTATATTAGAGATAGTTTAGCGAAGGAATTGCAAGGGATATCGATGATGGAATCTTAATTACATCACCGTTATTGGGGTTTGGCATTAACGAGGGAAATTTCGTCACGGATTTCATATTTCACTTGTAATTTTGCGACTAGAAATTTCATCTCTAATATTCAAAAGAAGAGCCGACTCATTAAATTAAAATTAGTGATGGACACTTATGTCCTTGCTAACTAGCAACGAATGAGTAATAAGATTGTGTTCATCGCTAACCTAAATCCTAGATCCCCTTTCTTATTCTCTCATTTTCTCTCTTCCTCTCCCTCTCCTCTTTTTCACCATCGACTATAATCCCCACGTAAAACAACCATAAAATCCCTCTCCTTCACTCCCCTACAATCCCCACCCACTTCACGCTCTTTTCTCCCTAAAAAGCCCCAAATTCCTTCCTTCCTATCCATCTCTTATGTCTCGCTTCGAAGGTAAGCTCTCGCTCTCTCTCTCTCTCTTCGTTGAAATTTGTTATTTAATTATTTATTTGGTGGTTAGTTTGTTGATTTGTTATTTTTTTAATTAATTATTATTTAAATTTTATTGCATCTCATATTATTTTATCTATTTTTTTAGTATAATAAATTGGATCGTAATATAAATCCTTACAAGGTGTTCTTGAACACTCATAAGTAGAAAGATGGATCATTTATCGACAAACAACGCTAGACAATAATGGTAAGTTTTTTATCTTTGTAAAGATAAATCGTTAGTACAATCTAAAATTATATTTATGATTTAATACTATAATTATTTCAATTACGCGAGAGCCCATGCATTCATTGCAGGAAACAACTACTAAAGAGCAACGGGAGGGTGATTATCGTCTCCAAACATCGATGTAACCAAAATATATTTCTATATTACAGGAGGTGAGAAGAAGCAAAAAGTGTATGGCCTTCAAACACTAGCGTCCAATATTACTCTCATTCTAGCACTAACTTGTCCTCTTCCACATCGTGGTACCCTAGTGGTAATATTCGGGAGGTTACTATCCATTACGAAAATAGGATCAAGTGGATGGAGGTTGACTATACTCGACGATTCCGAAACAGGAGAGTGAATTCCATACTCTACATAGTCATATAAAGATGGTGCTAATGGCGTTACGGGACCTACAATAAACTCGCATCTCTCCTATTGATCCCCTATAACCCAAGAGTCACTTGTGCCTCTCAATACCCAACGGTTGGAAGATGATGTAAGAGATGATGATCATGAGGACCAGCCTTCTTCTTCTTCTTCTTCTTCTTTCGGGTTTTTAAAGTTTTTATACACTCGAACACATTTATATATTTATTTTATTTCAATTTATATTATTTTAATTTTATTAAATAATATTTAATGTTTTAATAAGATGTTATTTTTAGTTGTTTGCTCGCTACCATTAACATTAAATGACTATTTATTTATATAAAAAAAGATTTTTTCAATTTAGCAACAGATCAACGATCAAATTAGCAAAGAAAATTAAATCTCTTTGCGATGGACTCAATAGCAACGGATATGGTGACGGATTTACAAGAAATTTTAGCAAATATAATTTAATGACGGCAATATGAGAAATATCAATGATTTTCCTATAGATTCCAAACCTGAAATATGACTATTTATATCGATTTAGCGACGAAAATTCTTCACATAGGTTGTCGTTGATTAGTGATGGATATAAATTTTTTATGCTAAAAAAATAACGACGATAGTTTTAGCTACTGAAAAATATTGTCACAAATTCATCACTAAAATAAAATAGTGACGAAAATTGATGATTTAGCAATGCAAAATTTCATTGCTATTTTCCGATTTTCTTGCTGTGAAAAACCAAAATAATATATACATATTAAGAGAGATAAGTATCTTGAATCTTCAAATCAATATCCATAGCATCAACTGAGAAGAAACCCTGGTATAACTAGCTACCAAGATTATAATATCTAAAAGAACATACCTTTAGCAGCATCATAACCAAATTTTGATCGTCTTGCTCCAACAATTTGCGAAGAACCGTAGCAGAATCAAATCAAGCATTTGAAACTATTGTATGTGCCAGAGCTTGCAGCAATGCATTTTGAGTTGTCAGGTATTACTTGATTGTAAGCAAACCCTTAAAGAACTGCAGGCTGACATATCCCGAACCTTGAGAGCATTCTGGATTATTTGAATGCCTTCTTTTCCATCTTGATTTTTAGCTTGCAGGTTTTCTAGAGCTTTTGTGCAATACAAAAAGGCAACGCCATCACCTAATTATGCAACAAATCATGTTCAGATTTTGAAGAGGTATTAACTGATGAAATTCCACTTACCAGGCACAATACCCTCTTCCACTGCTGCTCTATTAGCAGTCAATGCATTCATTAACCTATCTTTCCTTTCTCTAACTTCTGCCGCACTGGCACCCCCAACCTGCAAGAAGACTAGTAATTGATGGGTCCATCTTAAGATGAACGTGCTAATCTAAGAACTAATAATGATGAATAACAGACCTTGAAAACAGCAACACCACCAGACAGTTTTGACAATCGTTCCTGTGCTCTCTCCCGGTCATAACGGCAGTACTCCTCTCCATGGCTGTCCTTAGCTAAGAAAAAATACGCAGATAAGTAGATTTAGAAAGCTTGTTAAAAAAAAAAAAAAAAGTAGAGAAAAGTCTTAGCTTGATTACTCTTTTAAAGTCATCACAAGGGTATAAAACATAAAACTTCTTTTCAATCACAAACAGGTAAAAAAACAACTTTTCGCACTACCAATTGTTCTACTTTGCAGATGCTAGTTATTAACGCTGCTGATTTTTTGAAAATTGCTAATACATTCTTCTCGATAATATTTGTTATTATATAATAGTTAAATATATTTTATATCCTAAAAATATTCAAAATTTAAATATGCTTCAAAGAAAAAAAAATTATTGATGAACATTTTAAATATTTGATATAAAACATGTTTAACTATGATATAGTAACAAACATTGATGTGAGAGTGTGTTGATAATTAACAAAAATAAGTAGGGGTAATAACAAATTTGATGGTAGATTTAGCATAAATTTTTTTTTTTTAAAAAAAAGGATTGATAAGATAATTTTTGAAAAGTAAATTATAAATTAATCCCTCTATTTTCGAGAAAAGAATTAATAAATTCTTATTATTTTAAAAAATAATTATTTAGTCTTTATATTTTTAAATTTTTTTTGTAATTTAATCTCTTTTTTTTCAATTTATTTTTATTTTTTAAGAAATAGAAAAAAATAAGTACAAAAAAATAAAAGAATTGATGAAATAAAATGACATTTTATGAAATAAAATAATATTAAACTAAACATAACCAACACTAATTAAGAGATTAAATAATTAATTTTTAAAACAAAAAAGATTAATTAATTTATTTCTAAAAAAAAAAGAAGTAATTTATAATTTACTCTAATTTTGAAAAACTTTATGAACATCCGTGTATGGGGGACGTCAAGTAGGTAGTTGGCATATTATGCTAGTCCTACATTTTCATGAATCTTATCATGCAACTCAATTTAAAAAAAAAATTTGTCAATTATTGTATAATTGGAGTGAGAACACCTTCATCGTGTAAGTAAAAAAAAAAAAACTGTTGTGGAAAAAAGATTTGTTTATAAACAAGCAGACCAATGATTCACTATTCTAAAATCTTCCTTGCTCTTGTGATTTGTGCATATTAGAACCCTGGACTAGTTTAGTTTTTACGCCTTAGTCGGGCCAAGTTAATCTTTTCTATTCCGAGGTTGGACTAAGGTACTACAACACTCACTGAAAAGGCCTAAACATAATCATGGAAGACTTGTCCCTGGCTTTTGGGCTAGCAACTTCTGTGTACAATAAAGCATAGTCATATGGGCTTGGACTACTTAAGAATGAGTTAGGTCTAATTATCATTTTCAAACAGCATGAAAAAGCAGACATGCGCATTTCTGTGGGGACTTAGAAAGTGGCCCTCGCTAGCTTGGAACAAAGGTTTCAGAACTTGGTTAAAGATAGATGAAAAAAAATTCTCTTTAGATTGTGATTGAGATTGAGAATGATATTTTGATTCAGTATACTGGTCAGGTCTTTCAAAAATTGAAAGAAATGGTCCACCCAACACATTCTCTTTAGCCCTCCCCTTGTACTACTATGCTACTTTTCAATTGAACTCTGAACCAAAAAATGAGATCGAGAATATAGGATGCATGGAGACAATCGCTGTGACTTTTTGTACTAAAGCACAAAACCATCCACGAGACATGATTTGGACTTTTGGCATGGGGATAGCTAGCTTTGCTCCCCTGTTCATCAGAAGAGCCATGCTCGAACAGAAAAATTGTACATTTTGGCCCCACCAATTTATTTATTACTTCCAAAACATGTGAGTAGCAAAACCATTTGTTGACATTTCTTACTTCTTTTCAGAGGTCCTAGTCTCCCAGATTCCATTATCTTGAACAGTATTTTACATAGATAGATTTTGTTGATTGTGTTCTACTTTTCTTTCTAGTTTATTGTATCCCATGATCCTGGTAAAAATGTGGCAAGCGACTTACCTTTTGCACCTGATTCGCTTTTATCTTGACTAGATTATGTAATAAAAATCTATTAGCACTGCATGTTTTAAATGCAAAGAGCCAAATATATTGTGTTTACTGCTTTAAATGGAAAAACATGTGGTAATATATGTCCTGATGAAGAAACAGTGCATATTAAACCCAATTGTATTTTATTTTAATTTTTTAGTTTTACTTGTTGTATTTAAAGGATTTTTTTTCTTTCATTACTGATCCTAGAATTCGAACTTATGAAATAAATAAGTAAGATATCTTTTTAACAATAGGATCAATATTTTGGAGTTAACCGATTGTACAGTAGTAGCAGCGTAATTTATATGTAAGTGATTATGAGAATATATAAAAAGGTGCTTTATTTAATCAATTTAAGCAACTTGAGTTGATTTTCTCTAACCATTCGTTCAAAATACCTACCATTTTCATGATTGTGACAAACAGTAGAGGCCATAAATGTTCCAATCGGAAATTAACAAAACAACGAACGTGGATGATGTTTACGTTTGGCTTTAATTAGGAAAACAGCTCTTTAATTAATATTTTGGACAATCTACTTCAAGCATCCTCAATGCTTAGTTTTACATTCAGTTGGAGGAGTTAGTGAAATTGCTTGAGAGTTTTTTGGTGAACTGAAATGCATGCTTTTAATTAGTGAATGAGGTTTTAGACAATATTGCACTGGAATTGTAAGTTGATCTGAACAATTAATTGTCTGGTACCAGTTAGTACTTACCATGCATATTCTATCTTAAATTCAAGATCTTAGGAAAAGAGAATTGGTGGTAGGTAGCACCATGCAAGTGCACGATTACCTGCCACATATTTTCTTCATGTGAAGGATTTTGTGGGGTTTAGAGTCGGCAAGCCAACTGGCACTCCGTGTAGCGCCACATCTAATTCTCTACGAGGAAATTTAAGTTTAGAATCTGATTAATTATAAGGATTATAACTTATAAGCTCAGACTACACAAACATGACCTGTCCTTCAGCCTAAAATTTGGAACGTCTTCAGATAAGCGCAAAAACAAGTCCAATTACTTCAAAGCTTGGGTATTGTCGCTACGTGACGTCGGACGAGGACCCCAAAAGAAAATTATTGTCCGAGCTTTAATTATTTACAAAATTATTTACGAGTTTTGGAGTCGTCACACTAGTATTTAAGGAACTAGGAACCTAAAAGTAAGCACTTGGTTCGGAGATTCTTATGGTAAGAATTTGGTTACGCTTTTAGGAAGATATTTAATCATCTAAAAATGTCTTTTTCGAAAAAAAGTATCATGCATGGTTTACTTCTAAATTATCTCCTAAAATCTATGTCAAACTATTTTTCTAAATTTTAATCTCCTATTTTCTTTTAGACTAAGTGAATTTTTTAGTTTTGGACGTGGTATCATATTGAAACGATCGTCGGTCCCTTCGTTGGGTGACATATCGATTCAAACATAGGATCCATTAAAAGCCTCGACACAACCGGCGTGTCGGAGGACGTCTTGATTAAAAGGTGATTTTTGGTGACGTCGGTCCCTATCAAATAGGAGGCTTCGTCGAAAGTTTTGAATTTTGTGACGTTGATCCCAATTAGATAGGAGACTTCGTCGAATTTATTTATTTATTTATTTTTGTGGCGTCGGTCCCTACCAAGTAGGAGGCTTCACTCAAATTTCTAGGAATTTTTTTTTATGACGTCGGTCCCTATAAGATAGGAGACTTCGTCAAGATTTTTTTCTAGCAATACATGTTAAAGAAAATAAAATAAAAAAAGATTAAAATAAAAAATCTAAATTAATACCTAAAAATGACTAGAAATAAAAATAAACAAAGTTGAAAAAATAAAAAAAATCATCCTATATAAACGGGTTAAAAAATGAATGGATAATAAAAATAAAAATAAAAAAATCATCCTATGCCTAAAATATTAACCCACAACTTTTACTTTTTTTTTTTTTACTCATCCCTTGTTTTTTCCTTCCTTTTTTTTCTTCCTTTTGCTTATTTATTTTTATTGCCCTTTTTCTCTCTTTTTTTTAGCATCGAGTCGGGCCTCTTTTTTTTTTTTTTTTTTTTTGGAGAAAGGGTGCGGGCTAGGCTGATTTTCTTTTTTTTTCCTTTTTTTCTTTTGCCTCGGGTTGGGTCGGGCTAAAATCGATCCAAGCCCACGAGCGTTTGCTTTTCGTTTTTAATTGTTGGGCTTAAGCCCGAAACGGGCCGGGTAAACAAACTCGACAAAAACGGATCAAACACCTAAAAACTCTCCTCTCTCCTATTCTTCTCAACCTTCTTCTTCTCTCTCTACTTTCTAGATTTTCCCAAAAATTTAAAGCACTCATTTCGGACGAATAATTATCAACACCGTCACATACCCTTCGCCTTGATCACAAACCGGGACTTAAACTCAACAAATAATCAAACAAACAACTGGAATTATAAATCACCTAATCGGTAAAAAAGAACAAACCTTACGTGTTAGGTTGGTGATTGCTTGTTGATTTTACGAGTAAGATTGATCGCCTCATACTCGATTTGGTGAAGAGGGATCTTGGGGATTTGTGGATGAACCGAAAGACTCTGCCCGAAATCTCTAATGGAAATGAAAGAAAGAAACATGTGGACCAAATCCGGAGTTTGAAGACAAACCCGGAAAAATGAAGAACGAAGAAAGCCGAAACCCAACTCGTCCGTAAACGTGAAGAACAAAAATTGAGAATGGAAGAATTACACTTTGAATTTCCAACAAGGAGATGAAGAAAACTATGAAAGTAGAAATTTAACCTAAAGGAACACAAACAAAGAACTAGAAAGGATTGATCGATGATGAACCGAAACCCAAAAAACAAAGAACACAAAGAACCGAAACCTAGAAACCCAAAAAATGCAGATGACCAAAAACTAGAAATTAAGCCTTTTGCTTTTGATTTTCGAAACCTCTCTACCTGAATTAGTCACCTAATTTTTCTCCCCCTTTTTCCCGAAATTCAACTCATTTTATAGCAAAAAAATTCCTTAAAATTGAATCTAAATCCTCGAATTTTCTCGTCAAAATTTTTCCTCTTTAATTCATGATTAATGTGAAATCAAAACGAGAAAATTTTCATTGTTTCTGTTAGTGTTAGTTTTGGCAACAAAATCCACGATTAATACACAATCAAAAACAAGAAATTCATGGAGGATTTGGGTAGATTCTCCAAAAGATTTTCGAAGAGAATTTGCCTTGGAGCGAACGACGAGTCGTCTTCTCTATTTATGTCCTGTCGTTCGCTCCAAACTTTCGGTTTGGTCCTTGCGTTTCAATTTCAGCAATTACATCCCTCTGCGAAATAATTTCAGCACAATCTCATCAATTAGGTCCCCGAAGGTGCAATTTAAGGCCTAAACTTTTTAATTGACTCGATTACACCCCTAATTACTTCGATTAGTGTCCCTAAATGAATTTTTTTTTGTTTTTTATCATTGTCTTTCTCTTTTTTTTTAGTAAATTTTGAATTAAAAAAATAAAATAAAAAAATAAACATAAATAAACATAAATAAAAATAAAAATAAAAATAAATAATACAAAAAATAAAAAATAAAAATAAAAAAAAGAAAAAACGATTTTGTAAAGAGGCGACTTACCCCGAGAATTAAATGTTCGAGAAAAAATTGGCAATCTTGCCTCGCTAAATTGAGTTAATTGCCTTTACCCAAAAGTGGTTGTTCAACTTAGGGTTTCGCACTTGGCCGTGGTCTATTATGAGGTGACCATACCCGAGGTGGATTTATGAGGAGTATTCCTTCTCCAATACTTTTGTATCCGTTGGTATTACAATGTGCTCGAAAACAAACTCGAGCATACTAGTTAGCAAGGTACCTATAAGAAACATAAGCCACCTCGCTCGAATCCCCTTGTTTGACTTCTCTCTTTCGACTATTAGACGTCAATCTACTATCGGTATTCTAAGCTCCGTGGCCCTACCCCTTAATCACGTTTTTGAACTTGGTTGATCTACCCTTCGAAGTTTATGAGGAGTACATTAGTCCCCTTTTATCCATTGATGGTAATGGTCACTCCCTAGCTTGATCAGTCGTCTTCGACCGCTTATGGGGAGGATGGTGGATTAGTTGCTACTTTGGTGACCTTTCTTGTAACTTGAGATTCTATATGCTTTTTGAAATGTTTGACACTTTTCCCTTTCGTGATTTTTCTCCTTCATAGGGAAAGCTAGGTAGATTTTCTTCGGAGGTTTTGGATTCAAAGGTCGAGTAAAAACCCATCGGACTCGTGGACTTGTCATATAAATGTTTTAAGGACGAAATAATGGTGTTTTTTGGTTCGAATGCTCGAGCTTTAACGGTGGAAAATCATAGGTTCGGTGATAGAAGATATTTTTTGCCCCCAAGTATTAGCACCAACCATGATTTTGACTAGCGTATGCTCCGATTGTGACTATCGGTTCAATAGAAATTCTTTTGTAGGAGCTCACGAATTTAACACTCATCCAACTCGGTTACTTGTCTCTAGTTAGAAAGGACTTTTAGTGGTCCGTAATGTAGCCTAAGGCATGGTTTCTTGAAGAATAGAGAAAATAGGCTCAAATAGTGTTTCAAGATTCGCTTGACATAGGACCACTCTTTTTTTTAATTTTTTTTATTTGAATCGGATTTGATTGGAGGCATGTTTGATTGTGATCTTGTCAACCTAACTCGAGATTGGTGTTTGTGAGGTGATCTACTCTTTTCTCTAATGAAGTAGGAACCCTTTTTGGAAGCTTTGGTCTTTTTTTTTTTTTTTGAGGTGCATGGAAAGATCATGACCTTATTCCTCCTTCCTTTTCAATCCTCTTTAGTAGTGACTCATTTTTGGGTTTTTTAGATCACAAGTTGTTTGGTGACATGCCTCTCAAATCTTTTTTTTTTTACCCCTAGTGTGAGGGGTGATCCAAGTCCGGGTTTCATGAAGAAAAAATAGAAAGCTCAAACTTGGGTTTCAATGGATATGTTTTATATAAGTATGATAAAATTCTCAAGAAGGCTTTTCCTCATCCTAAACGAGATATCGATCCGTACGAGCTTTATTTTCTTGAACCCTTTTTATTAGAATAATATTAAGATAGGACCTACAAATCTAAACATTTGCTATGTCATTTTCATGGGCGGTGCCATAGAAGCAATTTGGGACATGTACCAATGAAAAAAGATTATGGCTCGATTTTTTTTTGCATGTTGCATGATGAGCCTCGAGTGTCAACAAGACATACTCATTCCTTTTCACCGGGTTCAACATTTTATTTGTCTATTATTGGACCAATATAATGTTGAGCGATCACCTCTGTCTTGACATCTTGGTTGCTTTTTCCCGGTTCCGAGTAATCTTTATATGTTTGAAGTGACTCTAGTTCAAAAGGCATATAGATCCTAAGTTCTTCCAAGGATCATCGATTTTTTTG